GAGGCCGGGGTGAAGCTGCTGGGGGTTGGGGGTGAGGCGGTGGCTGAGACTATGTGGAGCACCTGGGGTCTTTCAGAGTAGATGTCTTTGTGGAGGGAGTTCCATTCCTGCGCCTGAAGAGCTGCACAGAATATCAATGGATAATGTCTCAAAGACCTAGAAAATGCATCATGATCAAAGAAAAGAGGGAGATGAGAAAGGAATGTTTATTCCTCTATATAATCGAGATTTCAGTACTTGTGGCATGGTGGACAGAGGACTAGACCTGGAGTCCTGTGGACCTGGACTGAATCTTGGCTTTAGTAGAAGCAACATTGCCTCAGCTTCTCCATCAGTAAAATGGAGATGATTCCTTTATTCTGTGGTCAGTAGGAGGATCAATTAATTCAACATGTTTTATTGAGCACTAATGAATTCATAGGCCAGATGCTGGTAGAAAGAACTTCCAACAACCAGCAGCCATCATTAAAAGGCAAAGTACATAACAGCAGCACACGTAAATGCTGGGAACCATACGACAGTGCTTAATGTGATTCATATTCCTTTCATCTGCTGCTTCCACTAGATTGTAAGCTACATGAGCGTATGGTCTGATCTAGCATGTTCACAAAGTCGGACACACAGTAGGAGCTCAACACACACTGGTTTCAATGAGTGACTGACTGAATACATAATTAACTATTCAATTGTTAGATGCCTGGGGCAGGAAAGAAAAGACTGGAAGGCTGAGAGGTCAGGTCTTGCCCAAACTATCTTCTGTTCTTTCACTTTCTCCAAGCACTGCCTGGGCACATGCACACAGTCCTAGCCAAGCCAATTCCCAGAATCCACAGCAGCCATATTTGGTTGTGCTTAATTTTATGTTCCGTCTTAGAGTGAATGTTCATGGGTAAAACATTCTGTGGCTGACTATTCTCTAGTGCTCTTATTCTAGAAAGTACCGTAATGCTCACATTCTGCATTTAATTAGGCCTATACCTCTTTTAGCCTTACTGAGTTGAAACAAAAACAAAAGTTATCAGTGGGAAAATGAGAAACCCCATGGAGATTTTGAAATCTCCTTAACTTTGACTTAACTAACGAATACAGGAACATCTCATGAGACTCTATCCCATTCGGGAGGGAAGTGGAAAAGAACTCATTTCAAATCTGCCCCCCATGCTTATAACTCATGGTAAGATGAAAAGCTGTTCTCAATACTGGCTATAGGCTTGAGTCCTGGATCCACTTCTTATTAACCTTGTGGCCTTGGACAAGTCACTTAACTTCTCTAAGTCTCAGTGTTCTTTTCTTGGGTAAAATAAAACCCAACTCATAAGGTTATAGGACTACTATACACAAGATCATGCATAAAAAACTCTTAGCATTGTCTTTGGCTCATTGTAAGCTCTTAGTAAGTGGTAACTGATGTTTAATATTATTGTTATTCTATACTCTAAATTATATAATTTATGCAATAAATATAAAATACTATATTCTACAATGTAAATTGTATAATTCCTATCCAGCCTCAGGGTTCCTCGACCCTGGCATTGTTGACATTGGGGCTGGAAAATTCTGGGGTTGTTCTGTGCATCCTGGGATGTTAAGCAGCATCCTTGGACTCTGTCCCATAGATGGCAACCCTACCCCCTTGTGACAATCAGAATCTCTCCAGACACTGCCAAATATCTCCTGGAAAGCAAACTTCCCCTGGTTGAGAATCACTGGTACAGAAGAAAGAGCAGTGTGTGGCCCTAGGCAATGGTCGGCAAACTGTGGCTCGGCAAACCGCGGCTCGCGAGCCACATGCGGCTCTTTGGCCCCTTGAGTGTGACTCTTCCACAAAATACCAACTTCTGCGCATGGGCCACGAAGTTTCAATCGCACTGTACGTGCGCGCCTGCATGTGGTATTTTGTGGAAGAGCCACACAAAGAGCCGCATATGGCTCGCGAGCCGTGGTTTGCCGACCACGGCCCTAGAGATAGGAGGCCTCATTTCCATGAGTTAATTTGTGATCATAGGTAAGGCCTACCACTTCCCTGGACTTCGGTTTTCCTGTATAGTAAAAAGGGCAGGAAATCCCTACTTTATCTTTCATGATTTTTGTAACGACGAAATAAGAAAAAAAATTCAAATGCTCTAAAGAAGTGTTATACAGTAGGACTGTCTTATGATTATTTTGTCAGAGGTTGGTGACTGAGGGACAATTACAACAAGCCTTGCCTTGGAACAGCCGGCGCTGACCTGCTCTCCTCTTTAATTCTCATCCTGGGGGCCATGCCTCCCTGTTCCTTTAAAGGATGTATCTGTGGCTTGGCCTGAAGAATTCAAGAGGAACTGTTTTCTTTCAAAATGAAATAAAAATGTTCTTTTTTTAAAAAACAATTATTTTTGTAAGTGGTGAAAACTGCCTTGTCATCTCCAGATTTAACTTTCATCTAAATTTATCTCTCAGATGACTAGAATTAACCAGTCCTCTGGATTTTAACTGTGTCCTCTGCAGATTGATATTCAGAAAGAAATATTCTGAAGGTCTCCAATATCACTGCACTGATTAATACTTTAATAATACACTGAGTCATGCTGTGATACATTTCTTTATCAGCAAGGGACCATTTTTCTTATGTCATATCATATTATGGGAATCGATACACTGGAATCTAGAGGTTGAGCCTATTGTCTTTTCTTTATTCCTGAAAAATCTTTAAATGGGAGATAGTAGAGTGTCTTGGAAAAGAGTTTTGGCTTTGAGTTTGGTTAGAGCTTATGTGGACAGATGATGGCTCAATGTTCAACCCCATCAGTTATGTGATTTAGACAACTCCTTTAGCCCTTCAGAACCCCAGTGGAATATGGTAATAACCCCACCGCCCAGTATGGTTCTGAGGTTTAAATTGAGATGAATATATAAAGCAAGGAGCATCCTGTATGCACACGGTAGGCGTTTTGTAGATGCAGGTGATCTTTCTCTTTCTGTCCACATTCTGAAAGGCTGTTCAAGGATTTCTTTCATCCCTCAGAGCATGTGTTTGGTCTGACTGCTTCAGGAAGACCGTTGAAATGAAAACCAATACTTCTTCAGTATACTTTAGAGTCTTGACTTAAACTAATGGTAATAAAGCTTGAAGCACATTATCAACAAATCTTTCAGTTTATGAGCAAATCCCCTCCATAGTTCTGATGGATATTAGTTGGAAATTAAGGGTCTGACGTCACCTAAAGGACAACTACATTCACCCCGAGTGGGGTGAACAATGTGTTTCTTCCTTAAAATAATTCATTTTATCTTCTTAAGGACAAACATCAGCATCCTGAGGCAGCACAGTCCAGTGGCAGGAAGAGGAGCGTGGAGTCAGACAGACCTGCCATTAACTAGCTGCGTGATTTTGAGGCTCTCTGAGCTTCAGTTTCTTCATCAGCAAGGGTTGATAATATCCATCACAGTGTGAGGGTGAGGAGAAATAAAGCCTATGAAAGCCCCAAGCACCATGCCTGGCACATAGGGGTGCTCAGTAAGTGCTGCCTTTACCCTTGTCCCGCTTGCAGATCTTCATACCTTGCCTGGCTTAGGAGAAGGGATGGGGTAACTAAGTAAATCATTATCAGCCTATATTTTATTGTTATGCCCTTCCTATTTATGTTGAATATAGCATGCAGGGTAAGCCATACATTATTAAGTGGAAAGCATTTTAAAAATACAGGGTAATTTGCTTTGAAGTTTCCAATGGTGGCTCTGGAAGAGTTAATTTTATAATTTGTTCTTCATGCTGCATGTGAAGGCATTTTAAAGCCCAGCAAGACAAAAGGAGTCTGGTCACCTCTTTTTCAAACTTGGCATGTTTAACCATCCATAAAACCATTTTGCAGGGGACAGTATGGCAACAAGTAACACATAAGAACAAAACTGTAGAATAATAGTGTCCCAAATTTTCATCACTAAGGGTTCTTGTTAATATTTGTATTGCTTTCTCTTCTGGACCTCTTTAGTGCATTTTAGCTTCCTCTTCTTTGTACCATAACGTTTGTGCTAACTTCCATTGTATCATACACATCGCATTGTGATTGTGATGTGAGTCACATTCTATTCCTCTTTCAAGCCCCCTGCCCCACAGTAGGCTCTCAAACAATACTTGGCAAACTGAGAGCAAGCATCCCTATGTACACAGACTGTTTATGACTTATTGTAGATTCCTTTATGTAGATAATATTGATTAAACATTTGCTATCTTCCAGACATCGTAGGGTTTTTCAGGTAACAACTCATTTATGTTCACAATCAACCCTCCGTGTAGGTCATCATCATCTCCGCTTTACGGCTGTTCCTCCCGGCAGTGACATCCTGACTGCCCCCCCCCCCCCCCCCCCCCGTCCCCGTCCCCCGCCCCCTGAGGCCTGGGAAACCCCACCGACATTCTCCATGAGAACCAGGGTCAGGAAGATGAATCAGTCGCAAAGGAGCACCAAACCCCAGGCTCCAACAACATCTTCATTCTCTTTCTCCCACCTTCCAATCAACTGCTAGGAAAAGGAACAAACTGATTCAGGAATCCCATTTTCTTCCTAGACTTCTGCTGTATATCCACCCATTGCCCTACATAACTGAGCAATAGCTCTGTTAGACTGCTCCGACCTTGTAGGTGTTCTCAAGGGCATAGGGAAAGCAGCTCCCTTCTGCTCCCAATACACCTGTTGTGCTACAAGGTACACTTGGATGTGGGAAATGTCTTTGTACGTGAATGACTGTGCTAAGCTGCTTCCTCTGTGCCTCGGAAGAGACGGTGCCTGTTACACCCACTAACACAGTGGCTGCAGGAGTAAAAGGTCACTCCCTGCTTGGTACCTAAGAGGCATTTTATGGAGAAACAACAGGTGTATCTATCCTAGAAACATAGGTTGAGATCACACAAACGCCACGAATCTCCCTTGCCGCTCACAGGACGCTCCTAAGGAAAGGGGATGGGACGGGGCTCCCCTAAAGCTGGCTGGACCGCAATTAAGGCGACGTGCGCTATTTACCACATGCTGGGATGTCACACAGGTCGGACTTAAAGTTTTCATCCAAGGTGAAGCACCAGGGAGCTTCCTTCTGGTTCCCCGGGTTGCGGCAGTAGGAATGCCCTCCGTTCAGCTCTGGGAAGCGGAGGGCGGTGAAGGTGTGGGTGTGGGGGTACTGGGAGTTCCACGGCTGGCACTGGCGCCCTGACTTGGTGACACTGACGGTCCCCCGGTAGTCCACGCCCGTGCTGTTATAGCACTTGTGATCTGGAAAACACAAAGGGAACGCCCGCACTGTGAGGATGAAACAGAGGAGGGGCGGGGTCCCCAGCCAGCAGCTCCTGCATTAGCCTCAGGGCCACGGCGCCCCTGCTGGTCAGGGCCCTGTGGGCGGCCTTCCGCACGCTGTGCTGGGACCTGGCCCGCCTTGCAGCTACATTCCTGGAGGATTTAAAGCTCATGCTTCGGGAATAAAACCAGTACTCCACAAGTATTTTTACTATTGAAAAAATCAGAACTGGGGCAGAGGAATAATTTCCTAGTGAATGGTTCAGGGAAGGTTCAAGCTCAGCTGCTCTTTCCGCGCCTGCTTGAGGGCCTTCGGTAGGAACCATGCGATCAAGAAGCTAATCCACAGAGAACGCTTATTAGTGGCAGCGCATGGTGAGTGTCTAACAGGAGCTAAGCCACCTCCGTGCTGAGGGACTGCACAGCCTTGAGGAGCAGGTCCGAATAAGTACTCCTCCCACGTGACCATGGGGGCTGTTACTTGAAATCCCTCTTTAAAAAATCTATTGAGTTGTAATAGTAATAACAGTAATACTGATGATATTGTTACTATTATGTGCTAAGTATAGTTCTAAGCATTTTAGATGCATTAAGTTATTTAACTAATAAAGTAGCATTAACTACCCAAAGGGAATAAAAAAAATTTATCAATGAGTGTCATTCTAGATCAGTGGTTCTCAACCTTCCTAATGCCGCGATCCTTTAATACAGTTCCTCATGTTGTGGTGACCCCCAACTATAAAATTATTTTTGTGGCTACTTCATAACTGTAATTTTGCTACTGTTATGAATCGTAATGTAAACATCTGATATGCAGGATGTATTTTCATTGTTACAAATTGAACATAATTAAAGCATAGTGATTAATCACAAAAACAATATGTAATTACATATGTGTTTTCCGATGGTCTTAGGCGACCCCTGTGAAAGGGTTGTCCGACCCCCAAAGGGATCGCGACCCACAGGTTGAGAACCGCTGTTCTAGCTGAATGGGAAATGCAGAGAAGAGCAGTCTTTAGCTTGAGGGTGGTAAGAGGATAGAGAGAGGATGGAGCCCCATATACATGTCTTTAAAATTGTGGTACACGACACATATCATAAAATTTACCATTAATGCATTTAGAACATTCAAAATAGTGTGCAACCTCCACATTATCTTGTTCTGGAACCATAAATCATCCCCAAAGGAAACCGTATACACATTGAGCAGTCATTTCCCACCACCCTGGACCCCCTTCCCCAGCCCCTGGCAACCACTAATCTGTTTTCTTGTCTCTGTGGACTTGTCTATTCTGGATATTTCACATAAATGGAATCATACAGTGGAGTCTGGCTTCTTTCACTATCATAATGTTTCCAAGGTTTAGTCATGTTGTAATAAGATTTTATTCCTTTTTATGGTAGAATAATAATTCATTTTATTCTGTTTTATGGATGAATAATATTTATTCCTTTTTTATGGGTGAATGACACTTATTGGTTTTTATGGATGAGTAATATTTCATTATGTGGATATACCACAATTTGTTTATCCACTTATCTACTGATGAACATTTGGGTTGTTTCCACCTTTTAGTTATTGTGAGCAGAGCTGTTACGAACACTTGCATATAAGTTTTTGTTTGAACACCTGTTTTTAATTCTTTTGGGTATATACCCAGGAGTGGCGCTGCTGGGTCATATGGTCATTCTATTTTTAAGTCATTGAGGAACTAGCAACCATATTTTAAAATTATTATCTTCATGAAGCATCTTGAAAGTAGACCACATATGGTGTATATTTAGCCCATTGGAAGGTAATCTATTAGTAGAAACCATTATTGTGGATCAAATTCTAGTTCTTACTGTGCCATGGGGTGGCTGGCCCCCAAGGCAGCACAGAGGGCCAGGGGCTACCACCTACTTTTTTTTAAATTGATCTTAAAGAGAGGAAGGAGGAGAGGGAGGGGGGGGGGGGGGGAGAGAGGGAGAGAGAGAGAGAGAGAGAGAGAGAGAGAGAGAGAGAGAGAGAGAAGAGATCAGTTGCCTCCTGTTCAACCAGGGATTGAACCCACAACCTGGGTATGTGCTCTGACCAGGAATTGAACACAGCACCTTTGGTGTATGGGATGATGCTCCAGCTAACTGAGCCACATCAGCCAGGGCTACCACCTACTTTTATTTATTTATTTATTTATTTATTTATTTATTTATTTATTTATTTTTATTATTTTGTTAATCCTTACCCAAGGATATTTTTTCCCATTGCTTTTTTTTAGAGAGAGTGGAAAGAAGGAAGGGAGGGGGAGAGAGGCAGAGGAGAAAGAGAGAGAAACATTGATGTGTCTACATCAACTGGTTGCCTCCCGCACACACCCCCAACAGGGCCGGGGATTGAACCTACAACCCAGGTGCGTGCCCTTGACCGGGAATCAAACCTGAGGCCCTTCGGTTCCCCAGGGCCAACACTCTAACTGCTTAGCCACACTGGCCAGAGCCCACCTACTTTTATTGATAGGATCCGCCATAGGAATTCCAATCCGGATGCAGTTGGCAGCTTCAGGGCTCTCTGGCTGGGGGAGATCTTCACAGTTGGGCAGCTTCAGCCTCATCAGAATCATGGGATTTGATCTTGCAAAAATGTACTCTGTCTGACACAGGACGTTTTCCAGGATTTCACATTCATCGCGACACAAGTCACGGGGCTTTGGGATGGAAGAGGTCTCGTCGCAGTACGGGAAGGCGTAGTGGCACAGGGAAGGAATGGCGAACTGGGAACACTTATCAGATAAGTGACTGGAGGTGCCAATCATGGTGAAGGCAGCTGGAAAACAAACACAGTTATTAACTCCCAGGGCTGGGGTTGATCTGTGGTGATCTAGCCAACAAGTATCAGATATAAACACACACTGGAAGGGATCTGCTGGGCTCAGACAGGCAAGCCGAGAGGAGGAGATTCATGTCAGATGTCTAAGCAGCTTACTTTCACTGTCTAGAAAAAAATCATTTTGACTATAAAGTGAAAAAAAACACACACACAGGATTAAGTTACATATGTACTATTTCCTAATAAAAAAGAATTAATTAGGTTAAAGGACAATATATTTTTCATTTTACTACAAAGCAACAGAACGTTGTGTTTCATCCGGTACTTTTTATTGGTTCGGTGAAGTTTCTGAAGCATTTGACAGCTGCAGGCCAGGACGCGTGGGATGGGGCGGCTGGGCCTGAGTGCAGGACTCGGTCTGTGTTTCGCCTCTCAGCTGGTGGGTGACTTTGGGGAACTTGTGTAATTTCTTTGTGGCTTGAATACTTGCTACGCCATCTTCCGAAAAGGAGGCAGCTCACTTAGAAGTTCTCCAAGAGCACAACTCAGTTATTCCAGTGAGTATTAAGGAATGTTAATGGCCACTTAGCCTAACCTCAGATCCAGCACGGTTCCCAGCACCAAGCGAGCGCCAGCCTCCCTCGGCATTCCTCCATTGACAAAGGGCTTACTCACAAGGCAGCCTAAGAGGTTGTTGGTACATTGTTTCCCAAAGAATGTTCCTCCGAATAATGAGTATGTAGAACATTAATAGCGTTGGAGAAACTAGGGTTCCATAGCCAAAGAAGTTTGGGAAATGCAGGGTTAAACAAAGTTCATTGGATTTTTTATTTTATATTTTTACTGTAATACTTTCCAGTAAGCTGATGCCCATTGAAAACGTTGGAGAGGATTTTTATAAACGGGTGACCAAATATTTATAACAGAACTCCCATTTATTTTCATGAGTACTTAGTAAAAAGTATGTTCAACGTTCTCATACCAGGTTGAAATGTGCCTTCAGCAGCTCCTCTCCATCACCTCTACTTCCCAGAATCCTTCCCCTTGAAAGCCCGAGGGCTTCAGCAAATGGCAACTACATCTTCCTATTGGTGCTTCTCTAGGTTAAGTAGCTCCTGCAGCCACCTTTTTGTTCCTTCAAATTCCTCACATGACACAGTTTCTGGACTTCTTGATGTTCGCTGTGCCTACCTTGGGTTTGTTCTTACCTCTCTTAAGTCCCAGGGTTGCCAGATCAAGTACAAGGCACCCAGTTACATTTGAATTTCAGATAAACACTTGGGACATCCTTCTTTTAAAAAATGATCTGTTGTCTATCTAAAATGCAAATGTAACTGGATGGCTTGTATTTTTATTTACTAAGGCTGGAAACCTTAGTAGAATCTCATAAAGGCAATTTGAATGGCTTGCAAGAGTGCGTGGCACAGAGGTGTAATAACTGCACCAATAGGTACAAAGTGGCTCTAAGCACCAGAACTGGGTGTGCGAACTCACAGAAGATAACCTACACTACCTAACTCATGTGTGCTAAAAAGTGCTTCACTATTAGATCTCCGTTAAGATGCTTTCAATTCTGAATAATGAAGAGCAAACTCTAGAGAGCTGGAACAGGAAGAGATCCATGACCATCTTGCCTCATCATTCATGTCACAGATGAAGAAAGAGATTTTCACGGAGAGTAAGAGATTTCCCTAAAGTCACAGTAATGGCGATTCAGGGATTAGAGTCCAGAATCCTAGATTCTAAACTCATTCCCTTTCTGTCCACATGATGTGGCTTCCAAACAGTAAGCTCTGTGAGGGCAGAAACAACCAGCCTTATTCTCCACACCATCATATACCCCAGTGCCCAGCTACATCAAAGACATTCAGCAATATTTACTGAGTGTTTAAGTGAACGTGAGGCTTTTCAAAGCTTCCTTTTCCTCTAAGAGCAGCATTCAATAAATTATTTTAATGTCAATTTTAGTAATATTTTAATGATCATATCTCATGCTTCTTTATGGTCCTGCTCCTAACCCCCATGCCTGGCCTAACCGTTGGCCAACAGAGGACCTTAAGAAAACTATTGGTGAGAAAAATAGTTATTCAAGGTATAAACAGAATGTCAGTGATGTTACCTACCTGTGATCTGATTTTCTATTTCCCCTTGCATGTGCAAAGACTCCATATAGACGGTGCGGTTGCCAATAAATCTTGCGCATGCAATCCCTCTGTATGGTTGACAGAATCCATCTTCTTCATATTCATCTCTAAAAACAGAGCATAGACATTAACTGATGCAGTACATACCGTACACGTAGACACAGTTGGATCTGATTGCACAATGCCCTCAACAGTCACTAGGGGGCGCAGTTGAGCATAGTATCCTAAAGACTGGGCTAAGGAATCAAACTTTTCCTCAGTTCCATCCATCACTTAAAACATCTGTTGGTCACATTGGTCAAGTTTCCTTCACCCCCAGAAAACCATCCTGAAGCACAAAATCATCCTTAAATATGGGAGAAAACACTTTTATTTTCGCAGCTGGTGGTGGGCTGGAAGATGAAGTAATTATAAGAGTAAAGAGGAAATGAATTGAAAATCTGGGCACATGTTCTACAGTTTTTGTTTTGTTTTGTTTTTAAACAGATTATTTCTGCTTCATTTGATACAAAGGCGTGGGCGAATTCTGCACAAGATCCACGCTAACTGATATGTCAATTAGGTGGCCCCACGGGGTGAGAGGCTAGGTGCAGCTGGGAAGAAACCATAAGGGCCTATGATAAGCAAGACACCGGAGTACAGAGTGCCCAGCTGTTCCTCAGAGGCAGACCACAGCCAAAGGCCACCTTATACACTGAAAGGCAGACTTTCACCCAGGGTGTTCCTCCTCTCTGTTAACCCGGCTACAATCAATACATCGTCTGAACAAAATAGCATTTATCCTCTTTGGTTTCTTTAAGTTAAAGTACTTTAAAGCCAAAGTCAGGAGAAACAAAATTCCCTTCCTGGGTTTAATATTCTCATATCCTTAGGCAAGCTCTCTGAGCCTCTGAGCCACATATATGGATGGTAACAGTTGACCTCTCTACCCTATCGGCCAAAACTCATGAGGAGCCTACCAAACAGAGGTAATGTGATTATTATTAAACTAGAGGCCCAGTGCATGACATTTGTGCACTGGGGGGGGGGGGCGGAGGGAGTCCCTCAGCCTGGCCTGCACCCTCTCGCAGTCCAGGACCCCTTGGGGAATGCCCACCTGCTGCAGAGGTGGGAGAGGCTCCCGCCACTGCTCTGCGCTCGCCAGCCATGAGCCTGGCTTCTGGCTGAGCAGTGTTCCCCCTGTGGGAGCACACTGACCACCATGGGGCAGCTCTGGTGTTGAGCGACTGCCCCCTGGTGGTCAGTGCACATCATAGCGACCAGTCGTTCTGCTGTTCGGTCGATTTGCATATTAGGGTTTTATTATATAGGATTATTACAATGACCAAAGAGGACACTTATGTTTAAGGACAATTATTTACTAAGCTCCTACTTTGTAACAAGGACTATGTTCAGGACTATGGGGTGAGGGTTGAATGTGGGAATGTAGAGAGCCCAGTATAATAGAAAACCAGGTGAATAAAAAAAAAACACTTGATAGGGCTGATTCTTAAAGACACTAGTTCTCAGCTGCTTTCTGCTCCCTAGTCACTAAAACAGTCCTTTTGAAGGTGGATATGGGGAAAGTATCTTTAGTTTAGACTTGAAAATAGTCTCTTGCAAAACTTTTAAAACATAACCTTTAAATACGATTACAGATGAATATATCACATAAAGAATATATCCTTGACATAAAGACATTGAAATTTTAATGTTGCAAAATCCTGCAAGCACTCTAGATGTTTACTTTCATAAATCCTAGGGCAATGTTGAAGTCTTTTTGGCTCACATTTAACTTGGGTTGTAAAATTAACCCCACTTTTATTGGGTAACTAATACCATAAACCCATAGGGAGAAAGAAGGTTCTGGATGACCTAGACTTGCATCTTGGAAGCCGAAGTCCTGAGACACCTCCCTCCGTCCCCTGCTATTACAGATGATGCCTTTCTATCCCCAGGCATTAGCGGAGCCCCGGACTCGTAAGGTGTCATTATGAGAACACCTCTTCCTCCCCCACACTACATTCTCGAGGCCTCAATTTATATCTCTTGGGAGGACAAAACCCTGGAATTACCCTCCATTATAAATCCCCAACCGACTGGGAGTTCCCATATTTTATGTGAGAGGCTTAGGCTAAACTTCTTACCACCTTTCCAGTTCAAGACTCTAAATAGACTCTTTGAATACTTTTTTTTCCAGAATAAAATGGAATGCAACTCCCTTGCCGAACATTTCTTGTCAATGAAAGGCTTCGAGCTGCAGGTGGATTGGATTTTTGACTGTGCCCAGAATTCCTGACATTCTGGCCAGTCTCTTGGGGGCAGATCTAAAAAACTCACACGAAACGCACAAACACAAACAACAAACGGCATCTGCTGGGGAGCAGCGCTCAGCCCTGGCTGCTTACACGACTCTCCTCAGGCGGCTTTGAAAATACCAAGGCCAAGCCCCACCTCGGACCTACTAAAACCCTCTCTCGGGGGACACAGCTCGGGCATTCATGCTTTTATAAAAGCTCTGGGGTGATTTGAATGTGGTTGAGAACCACAGCACTAGAAAAACAAACAGGTATTAAGTGCCTGCCACTCTCCCTACTGGGTACTGTGCTAAGTGCTCTCTTCAAAGCCCCCCCTTAGGCAGCGTTATCCTCTGTATTTTACAGAGCAAGACACTCAAATTCAGAGAAGTTAAGTAAGTGGCTCAAATTCAAAGCCAGTAAGTGGTGGGCATAGGATTTAAACTTAAAATTTAAGCTCAAGCCATTACACCGTGTTGTTAGATCTGTAATGACATTCTCTGCTTTTCCAGGCCCTCTTTTAACTCAATCAGCCTAATTTATAAATAAGGGACTTTATAAGGTGCCTTTCTTGTGTACCAGGGACTAAGTTTCACTTAAATATAAAACTGACATTAAGCCTGGCCGGCTTGGGTCAGTGGATGAGTGTTGACCGACCTCTGAACCAGGAGGTCATGGTTCAATTCCCGGTCAGGACACATGCCCAGGTTGCAGGCTCGATCCCCAGTGTGGGGTGTGCAGGAGGCAGCTGATGGATGATTCTGTTCTCATAATTGATTTTCTCTCTCTCTCTACCTCTCCATTCTTTTCTGAAATGAATAAAAATACAATTTTAAAGTTTAATGAAAAAAACTGACAGTAAGTCATTTAATCCTGACAACAGTCCTATAAAGAAGGTGAAAATATAATTATTCCCATTTTACAAATGAGAAAACTGAGGGTTGGGAAGAGTAAAGAACTTGTCCAAAGTTACATAGCTAGATTTGCCCCAAACTAGTGCTTGTACCCATGGCCCACAGCTTCCTGCCAAATGGCCTGGTCATGGAAATGTTGGCACTACCTACAGGGGTTTTGCACTGTGAAGATGCCGGGTGGCAACAAAGGTTTTTTTTTAAATGTAAAGTCACAAGTGCCTTTTATCCTTTCCATTTTCCCTGCTGGCCTGGGCTGGAGAGAAACCAGCGCTCCTCCAGCATCCATCAGCGTCATGCTTTTCTCCAGCGTACACTTCTTTCATCCTGGATGCCCTCCATGCTCAGCAAATTAAAAACATGACGCGGCAAGGCTGCGTGAGCACAAGGGCACTTTCAAGGAGTGCGCCAAGGCTGTGCTACAGAGAAGAAAAGTGTGGCTGAAAGGGCAAGCGGCATTTCAGCCGGTCATCACAGCGGCTGCACCGCCCTGCACGGCTCCCTCGCCTCGCGGTGACGTGGGGATGCAGGGTTGCTTTGTGATGGGAACTCATGTTTCTCCTAAAGGTCATTCAGTGGCCACATCGCCAGCCTCTTGGACCCCCCCAAACTCGCTGTCATGTGACGGAAAAGCAAACACAGCCTGCCCTGCACCGCCAGGGTCGCCCCCATTCCCCAGGGGAAGGAGCTTATAAGGGATTGTCAAAAGGGGCCGAGAGTGATCGCAACCACTGTGGCAGCAGAAGGGTCCGCCCAGGAAGCACGTAGAACAAGGAAAGGGATGTGCGGCCACTGCAAGTCGCAGCTCAAAGGAGTTTGACAGCGACAGTGGAAGTCCATCGCTACAAAGGCTGGGCAAGCTGCTCAGGTCAGTGAGCAAAAAAGGGAATTCTCTGAAAATGAGAAGCGCATTGTACAATAGGAGGCCAGATGTTAGCATTAGGGGAAATGGGATGGGCCTTTCTTCATACCAGGCACGCCCCCAACTTTCTTCCTCGTCAGATTTTACATTGGCGCAGGGGCAGGGCTAGTAGACTAAACCAGCTGAACTGATTCTCGCTAATGAGCTAGGCCCTAAAAATTCCCCTTTGGGGTAAGAAGATCCCGTTAAAATGCATGCCTTTCCTTAGTGAGAAAAGAATGGATGTAAAGGTACTCTGCTAACTATAAAATCTCACTTAAACAAAAGAATTAAAAACAGGTACTCAAACAAAAATACTTGTTCACCAATGTTCATAGTGGTCCTATTCATAGCAAAAAAAAAAAAAAAAAAAAAAAAAAAAAAAAAAGAAAAAGAGAGAGAGAGAGAGAAGGAAAAAAAAGTTGGAACAATCCCAAACACTCATCAATAGATAATGGCTAGATAAAATGTGAGAGATATATACAATGGAATAGTATTCAGTCATAAAAAAGGAAGGAAGTACTCAAACATGACACAATATGGAAGGGTCTCCAAACATAATGTAAGTGAAATAAGCCAGACACAGATGGCTATATATCAAATGATGCCATTAATAGGAAATCTCGAGAATAGGTAAATCCACAGAGACAGAAAGCAGACTGGTGGTTACCAGGAGCCAGGGCAGGGAGAAATAGGCAGTAATTAGTCAGTGGGTGTGGAATTTAATTTTGTGGTGAAAATACTTTGGAATAGACAGAGGTGGTGGTTGCACAGCATGTGAATTTCACATCAATTTAAAAAAGATCTCATGTAGACACAAGGGACAAGGTAGAGGAACTTTGGGAGAGGGACTGTGGTTGGAATTTGAAGCTACAGAGCTGGGGAGAGATTTGGGGGGCAATTTTGTGGGTTCTTTCCAAGCTGACTAATTGGCTAGAAGCATTGATAATTTACACAGTATCAGCAGGCTGCTTTTTTCTGAGGCTCATAGCTCTTCAACTGGGATGCCAGGGTGGTTC